CTTTCTCTCTCTCTCTCTCTCTCTCTCTCTCGAAATATATCTGATTTTAGAAGTGTCTATTTCTAAAACTTCAAAACATATTAAAGTACATATTCTTGACGTATGTTATAAAATATCACACATTCTGTGAGATTTTAGTGAATCTAATTTTCATCAATATTATAATCTTATTCGACTCTATAAAAGGCAATTTCTATATAAAATACTATTAAATAGATTATTATAAAGTACTTTCACAATAGTATGAGTGAAAGTAAGCGAGAGAATTAAAAATGTATTTTTAAAATGAATATTTTCTGAAAATTTAAAATATAATGGTGAGAACAAAAACAATTGAAAACTTAAGTGTATGCATAAGTATAAGCGATAATTGAAAACAAGAAAACATTTTTTTGAGGCAAACATTTCAACAAGAATTAAGGCATTCATTAACCTCTTTATGCGAAACGTTATTAAAGTAAACTAAACAACAATACAAATACAGAATTGATTTTTTACAATAACATAGTATTTGTTTGCTTTCCACTCGACAAACAACACAACACTGACTGACAAAATATATGTATATTTTATGTCGACTTTCTCTTTAAACTCAATACTTTGATCCATATTTGAAACACTTTTTTATATTTTTAAATAATTTTTGTTTAAGAAATAAAAAGATAATTTTACTCAATAAACACATTAAGGTGTTAATTAAGACCCACTTAGCACTCTTCAATATAACAATTTAGTTTACATTTTATTTATCTCATTGTTTTCCTATTAAAAAAATACATTTTCTTAAAAAACAATCAATTCCTATTGAAAATATACCAAACATTTCTATTTTTGATCCATAATAACGATTACTGTTTTAAAAATTCAATTTACATTAAATATACGATTAAAATGTACCTAAAATTGACTAAATATTTGTTTAAAGGAAATAAACATTATTGAATTAAAAAATCAATTTTTATTATTACCATAAAACTTTATGAAAGACATGAGAAATATTTTACTAACTTTTAATAATTAAACACATTTACAATTTTGTTATCAAGAATCCAATACATAAGTCAAATCAGTAATAATTAGATCCCTGGTTATACTTGTTTGGCCAAACATAAGATATACATCTATATAATAATTAGTGACAATTAAATTAAGTTTACATAAATTGTAAATTTCTGTTAATATCACATTAAAGCCGAGACTTTAGTTTCCCGAAAGCAATCACTTGTTGTGTATTTAAAATAAATCTACTTTTTATTGGACAATACGTTTGCGAGGGATTTGAGTTTGTTTTAGACAATTGTTTGCTAAAACATAACACGAGAGCTGAGACATCAGGGATGCGTTAATGACGACATCCATTCAATCTCATCCTCTTTTTTCTTATAAGACACTCAAAAACTCATTGAAAGTTGTTTTCAGTTCTCTTTCATTGTTTGAATGCTTTTGAGTGAAAGTGTATTCCATAAGAAGAAATCAGTTCTCATAAGTTATTTGCAATCCATAACTTGCGTTCAATCGACATAATTTTTTAATTTAAATACTTCCTATTATTTGAAAAACTTAATTTTAAAAAATATGGCAAAAGTATATCTAACTTTACTTTCGGTTTTGGTCTTAGCGTTGTTTTCAACAAATTTGGCTCAAAAAACACGGGTAATAACGTTATTGCCATTGACTCCCATATAAATTTGATACTTAATTATAACATTATTAACGCTTTATCAATGGACAGGTGAAGCGCCAATCACTGGCCTATAGATTTGCGTCGGGCGTTGAGTTTGTGGTACCGGATCTGCGGGAGTCGTTTACGTGTGAGAACCGGGACTACGGCTATTACGCCGATGTGGACAACAACTGTCAGGTGTTTCACGTATGTGTGCCTCCGGCCCAACACTTCAGTTTCTTCTGTCCCAATACCACAATCTTTGATCAGCGGCTACTCGTCTGTAACGACGAGCTCTTCGCCACTCCTTGTCGAGAAGCCGAACGCTTTTACGTTATTAACCAGAACTTTGGCGTAACCGACCCTGATAAGTTGGTCCAAATATAACCAATCGTATCTATTTTTATTTAATATTTGTTTCATTCGCTATTTTCGATATAAATTATATTATAATTAGATTAGAAATTGATTTATTATTTTTGAATATTTCCGTAATTGATTTAATTATTTTTTCTGCATATATTTAAATTTATTATACTTTGTGACTATTCATTGCCCGATAATTAGTTTGTTTTTTATAAACAAACAAAACTGATGTAATATATATTTTGATATAATTAACAAATCTGTATGAATATACATGTGATAATAAATTGATTTTTAATTATTCTGGGGTTTCTCTTTTTGATTTTGCATTTTTAGATTATATAATCATTTGAGTTGTTATTCAAAATATAGGTTAAGTATTTAGCATTTGCTCACAACTACATCACTACATAACCCCCTTTAGGCATCTGATCCGCTAGTTTTTACTATTTTAATCTAGATATGAAAAACATATTATAAAAACAAAAAGTAACTGAAAATAGAAATTTGAGTTTCATATAAATAAAAATCCAAATTATGTCAAATTATTATAGTTTTCTCCAAATTAGATATTAAAGTAATTTATTTTCAATTTTTATCATCAATTTTAATCAAGTTTTTAAAATTCAATTATTGTAAATCAATATATCTTTTAATGTGTTTAATCACTAATGAGATTATTAAATGACTTATAAATTTTGTTTTATAAACAAAAAATTAATTGTAAAGCAATATAAAAAACAGCAAAAAATATAATTAATATAATTTCATGATTTCAATACACAATTAAATTGTTATATTTAACAAAACAAAATAATACTAATGTAATAGTAATGGTAAAACTCAAATATTTTTAACAAGATTCATTTATAAATTGTGGCAAACAAATAGCATGAAGGTTATTATAGGGGAGGACCGGTATATGGTAGAGCTCCGGCGTGGAAAGGCTTTTTGCACGGCTTTTTGCTGTAAAACACAAACACATAATCAATAATATTTTTGTAATTATAAAATAATTAATGTCTTAAAGCGATTGGCGTAAAGAATTTGCGTGAAATCGGTTCAAACCTCAAAGTCTTATCGTAAGTGTCTTTATAAGCCTTTGGTTCAGAATTGGCCACATTTTGTTCATAACTTCTTTCATTTTGGTAGTCATCATAAGTGCTGCCACTCTTGGATACTGACGGCTCAATTATCGTCTGACTGATCACTTCGCCATTCTTGTGACCATTGGATCCGTAAGCGTACGAATCGCCGGTAGTTTTCAGCAGTTCTTTGGAGGCCACTGTCCTCAACAGATCCAACTGTTGAATAAATTGCTCCAAAAGTGTCTTCAGTTGACTTTCGTTGTTGTCCTCAATTAAGTGTTCGCTAATGTCTTTGTCGTTGTTGTTGTAGTGGTCGTGGACTTCAGGCTCAGCCTCGGGTTCAATGTTTGTAAAGTACGGGTAATTGTGGTCTCCATTCGGTATTCCATTCGGTATTCCATTGTTTTCATCGATTGGAGTGCCATAAGGGCTCAATTGTGGCTCCGGTTGTGGGATGTGATCGTAATTGATATTTGGCTCCTTATGTGAGTCAAAGAACTGATAAGTCTGTTCCGAGTCCACGGACGCCATCGCGTCCTTCTTGTCAGACTCCCGGAGCTCTTCTTTCGCTTCTTCTGGTGTCGTAACTATCGGTTCCACTTTCGGCGCGACAGTAGTTGTGGGCGTCTCTTGTCTTGTGTACAGAGTTTGCAATTGCGGTGATTCTGTGTTGTAGTCAAACATCTGTTGATTTATATAATAAGATTTTTCTTGAGTTTGTCTCTCGGATTCTTTGGCCACAAATTGTTGCGGTGTTTGCGGTCTATCTCTTTGGCTGTCTTTATGAACATAACTAAAATTGGTTTGCAATACAGTTTTGGGCCAATGATTATAACTAATGGTGTGAATACGGGAATAGCCGGCGGTTGTCATATTGGTCTCCAATTTAATGGTTGGCCTCTTTGTGGTCGATATAGCTATCACTGGTTTCACTACTCTTTCGGTGCGATATTTATGATGATTTGGTGATAGCGTTGTTGTCGTTGTGGTAGACGTCTGTGGCTTTAGGTATTGAGTGTTGACTGGTTTGTGACCGATTGCCGGCATCTGTTGTGTGGATATAATCTTTGGCTGTCTTTCGATGATTCTCGAGGACAGGTATTTAAGGGGAACAGAACTGAACGAATTTAAGTCCACTGGCCTTTGAGTGGCCGATATTTCCACTTTCTTTGCACTGTTTTGGGTATTTGTGTTCACATTAGGGCTAATATTTCTGATATTGAAAACTAGAGTAAAGTTTTAAAAGCAGATTGTGGGAAAATATGCAAAATTAGTTCAAATTTTAAAATTTTATAATATATAGAAATATATACCAAATATATAAGAAATGACTTACTTCTCGGTATATCAATAGTCGGCTGCGAATATGTGGCCGAAAACTGAAGAGGAATATTGCCGTTCATATTGTATGGCAACGAATACATGGAGTATGAGTTGGCGGCCGCCGTATTAAGCGCTCCCATATTCATGAGATGACTGGTCATCGGTCGCATCAGATGACCGGCCGATGATATGGCCGTTGGGATCAGATGTGATGCACCGCAACAGTGGTTAAACGATACAATCAAAATATAATATATAAAACTGTTCAACATTTTAATAAACATTTTCGTCAGGAATTAAAACGGTTTAAAATTGAAATTTGTTTCAAAAACTTTTGCTAAGAAAAGTGGGAATTATATTCTCAAAGCAAATGTTTTCCCAATTTATATACTATTAAAAGAAAGATAAAAATGAAAACAAGTAAAACATTCAAACATTTGGTGTCAAAATGTTTATGATTTCGTTTCTCTCCTGACATGACCTGCAAAACGGGTCTTCGGTTTGCATTGAATATAATGTGGAAAAGAGTTTCGTTTTGTGTGGAAAGTGGAGCTCACAATCGATTCTATAAATAACTTCTATTATTAATTAGTCTGCAATCCATTGGACATTGAAATCGCTTCTCAGCCACAACTCTATTGATGTTTTTATGTTTTTTAAAATCATTAATTTGTAGTTTTGTTTTGCTCTATAAAAATGAGTGCAATTGAGGGATGAAAATATAATTTATTACATTTTTAATATGATTTGATAGTTATTTACTAATATTTGTTACTTAATTTTAATGTAGTGTTTATTTAATTCCAATAAATATGATTAAAAATTTTATTTTGCTAATTGCATATTAACTTAATGCAATGCATTAATTAATTGAACATTTTTCTGTACATTTTAGTGTTTTAATATTCTAGAAAACAACTAACAAACTACTCCATTATAGTAAATTAAAAATTTTATAAAAAAAAGTGTAAATATACATTATAAGTAATTTATAACAAAGAGCGATAATAAATTACTTGATATACAATTTTGTAATTATTTTTATTTTTAGACAAAGTCTACACCTCTGAACCAATGGAAATTACAACTGGTTAAATTTAAAATTATTTGCATTAATAGTTATTGTATTTAATGTATTAAAATAATTACTTAGATATTGTAACAATTAATTATCTGACAAAATATCTAAAATTTATAAAATAATATTAAAATTTATAAATAAATATTAGATACTTAGATTTCTCTAAAATAGGTTTCTCTAAAGAAAATTTAATTTAACAATCGATTACTATTATAAAAAATGTTAGAAATTTTTAGCCGATTAAACAATAATAAATAAATATTTACAAATAATCTAAAAGATGAAAATAAGTTATTTATATAATTTATTATAGATATAAATTATATGCTAATTATTAAAAAATAAAAAGTAGTCAAAACAATTAGAATATTATTTATTATTGAATATTTTGGTAATTTTGTAATAATATTTGTTTTACATAAATATTGTGAACAAACGATAATTCATTACAGACAACATGTTTTGACATTAAAAACATCCAAATTTAGCACAACTTTTATTAATCTAATCTAAGCTATGATCTGAGGTGTCGTGTCGTGTACTTTGCATACAAACGCATAATTAATTGTAAATTTAAAATAGTGTTAAATTTGTTTATCAAAACTCTTCTTAAACTGTCATTACTCTTGGTTTTGGTATAGATTTGGTGAAATTGATTACTGGCTCTCATTTTATTAACTTTTTCCAATCATTACTTAAATGATTTCAAAATTATAATTAAAACTAAAATCGATTAACAATCGTTTAATTATTAGAAATCGAGTAAATGTAAAATTAAATACTGAAAATACCAAATATTAAATACCAAATATTGTATCTATTAAGCATTTGATGCCAAACCAAATTGCTATCAAATATTTTCTATTTCTAAAAAAACTTTATATAAATAACAACACAACAAATAATAGTTGAATAAAAACAACATTTAATGCATAAGAATTGATTGTGGATTGAATTACCAGAAGGTGAAACCCCCACCACTCGGATCATCAAAGAAGAAGGGCCTCTGTTTGCGTCCCAAAAGCACTTTCTTGCCGGTCATGTGCGCCAATTGGGCGGCGTTTGGCTGCGCTCCGGGCGGCGGCGGCGGGATATTGGGCTGCGGAGAGAACTCATTGAAACTGGAATACGGGTCGTAGCCATTGGGCACTACAACACTGCCGTCCGGACGGGTCTGATAGACATAACCATACGGTTGAGGATTTTGAATATACATCTGCCCCGAACCAGGTTGGGGTTGGTATGGCCCGTACACCTGATAAGGCACACCCGGTGGTTGATTGTTAGGCATGTAAGCAATTTGTGGATTGTATTGATTTTGCTGAGGATAGGGTTGTTGTTGTAATTGTTGCTGATTTTGTGACTGTAATTGCTGTTGATATTGTGACTGTGGACTGGACTGAGGTGTGCCCTCTATTTCCTGTTGCTGTTGTGGTTCAATGTCTCGCGACTGTTGGGAGCGAACGGTCTGTTCCGATGGTTGAGCTCTTGGTTGATATTGTGGTCCAGTTTGTGGTGACTTTCCTGTGGATGAGCTCTGATTTTGGTGTTTTTGGTTAGACTTTTTAGATTCATTATTCCTCAAGTTTTTAGACATATTTAGCGATAAATAATGTCCACAATTTAGACTTAAATATAAATAATTTAGCAGTTTTTAAACCAGTTAAACAAATATTCAAATTTAAATTGTTTATAAATGATTGCTAACAATGAAATTTAATTTATTGCCAATTAACCGATTTCTACAATTTCATTTTAGTGCTATTATTGTTGTTTAAATAATGTAAATTAAATTGCATTTGAAAATAAAATTTTAATGATTCCTCATTTTATAATATTATCGTTAAATCTAATGTTAAAATTTTTATATAAAGATCAGTGACTTTGGTTTAACTTTATTTAAAATAATATCAATAAACCAAAACATTTAATTAATTGTTTACAGATTGTCTAATACCAGAAAAAGATTAAGAAATCTTTGTCATAATCTATTTAAAAGTTTTTATCTCTAGATTTGCTAAATAAGACACAAATTTTAACATTTAATACAAGTGATGGTCAGAAAGATATAGCTTTCAGTTATCGTTTTCCATAGAATTAATGAATCCTATGAATCCTTCAATCCTATATAATAATTATTCAAATTACTAATTGTAAATCAAACATATAAACTACACCAAATAACAATACATAATAAATGTTTACATAATAAGCCTTGATAAGTACTAATAAAACACCTTTATGATTAATATTAATAATGAAAATTGTATTAAGCAATATGTTTTTACTATGAAAAGGAGTGAATCCATATTGAGATCCTATTGAACACTTGTAGTGCAAAACTCAATCAATATTTAGTTCATAATGTTATCCAAACTATAACTGAACTAAAGATTATCTTATAATTTCAAGCGATTTATACTATTTATCGTTTCATTTTCAATGATAATTAGCCAATTTTCTACTTAATTACCACAAATCAAGTACTGTATTGTAGATCATCTAAACATTCTTGAGATTACTTTCTGTTACCCTTTATTATAGTGAATAGAAATAAAAGTCAATTGACTATTAAAAAAGTTAACTTCTTGTTTGAAAGAGTTAACGATTGGTAAGAATGAAATTCTTGAAAATTAATTATTTGATACTTTTGGCGATTATCTGCCAAAACTGTGTCCAATCATACGACACATCGACTCTGCAGTTGTTGCAGATAATCCACAGACACGGAGACAGGACTCCCATCGCATTCTACAAGAATGATCCGTACAAACAGATCGCATGGGAGGACGGGTTGGGAGAACTTACACCGCGTGGTAAACACAGGATGTATACATTTGGACAACTTTTGCGGCAAAGATATGGCGACTATTTGGGCGAATCGCCCAAAAATATGTTAATCAGGAGCTCGTCATCTGATCGGTGTATTGAGAGCGCGTCTGCCGTCGCGTCCGGACTCTATCCGCCGAGTCATCGATGGATTTGGTCTCAAAACGATACGATCGCAAAGTATTGGCAGCCGATTGCCATTCAAACCATACAGAAGGAAGAGGACGGCCTACTGGTGCCCAACTCTCACTGTCCGGCGGCCGACGCCGCGTACCAAGAAGTCATGCACTCGAAGCCAGTGTTAGATCTATTGGAAGCAAACAAAGATTTCATCAAAAAGATTAATGAGAAAACCGGTGAAAACTACAACACATTGAGACAATTGGACTACTTGTATGACACAATCAATCACGAGATCAATTTCGATGAACCAAAACCACTGCCTAAATGGGTTCAAGAGGTGGGAAACGACACTTTGGAAAGGCTCAGGAATCTGGAGTTAAACGCATTCAAATACGACTGGTCTTCGAAGAAAGTGCAGCGCCTGAGAGGCGGACAACTGTTCAATGAGTTGATCGTCAATATGAACAAAAAGATCGCTTCCCAGCCGTCGGTCAAAGTGTACGACTACTCCACTCACGACACAGTTCTGGTCACTGTATTGCAGGCGTTGGGTCTCTATAGCGGTGACCCGCCGTCCTATGGGTCGGCACTGATCTTTGAATTGCATAAAATTGAAGGCCAATACTTTGTGGACCTCTTCTACGCCAATGTGACGCCAGTCCTCACGTACACCAAACTGGACCTCAAGACATGCCTCGCCATCGATGGTGGAAATGAATGTAAATTTGATAACTTTGTCAAAAGTGTCAAAGAATTCTCTATAACACAAAAAGATTGGATCAAAGAATGCCAAACAAGTACTAATGTTTTCAAGAAATTTTTCAATTTGTTTTCAAAAGACAAAAAAGATTCCTCCGGGGATCCGAGGTCTCTGGGGTCTGAAGGGTCGGGTGTCTCGTGGCTTAACGCCCACAACAGCCTCTTTGTGATCACATCCGTTGCCATCGGAGCCATTCTCACGGATCGTCTCCTATAAAACGTTCAGACATTGAAAACTTTGACCGAAAGCCTATGTAATGTTTTAGTGATTCAATTAACAGATTATCAGTCATTGAACACAAACTATTGATACAAATTGAAAATTTTTTAAATATTAGTGTAAATAAAAGAATAAAATATAGTTTTTTTGAAAATTATTTTGTTTGTCGTTTCTTATCGAGTGATTAATGGCTTGTTTTAAATAAATGGTTGGATTGAAGGCGTAAATGAATGGATTATAAATTACACGATAGATAATCGCACAAAATATGTGAAATCAATAAATTTGTTTATTTAGTCACATATATTGTGGTTATTTGCGGTTAAATTGTTATCCAAAATCAAATCTATTTCGTCTTGTGTTTAACAGTTAAAGGCCACAGAAGTCATGGCCTAGAATTGTATCAAATCATATGTAATGTTTAAAATTGTTAATTTATATTCAATTTTTAGTAAAAATTCAATTAATAGTTAATAATGTTTAATTTATTTCGTGCTTATTTTAATCACATCAGGATATAATAAAATAGTGTTTTAATTTGACTTGTAATTTATATTATTATTTTGAAAAGTATTGTTTCATTTAAAAATTTTTAGTAAATTATGATAATCTTTCACTAATTTATACCTCAAGTGTATTTCCTTTAATACATTTGATAACAAGAGTGATAATCTTATAATAAGCACAAACAGCTTCAAAAAGTTAATTAAACATTTAATATCTCTAATTAATTAATAACTATAAAATAAAGTTAATATTTTTAAAATTTGAGCCAAAATTTGAGCCAAAATTTGAATCAAATATAATTGACGTTCAGTACAAATATTCGTATCCAAAATCAAAGTCTACAAAATCTCTAAATAAACTATAAATAAGTTTTTAATACAATTTCATTAATAAATGTTTAACACGAAAAGTGTATTAAAAAGAAGTCAAATAATAAATGAAACAACAGTCACATCATGTGTGGCGTTGTCTTAAAGGTATAATTAAACATAATTATGATTATAATTTTGAAATCCTTAAAGTGATAACAAACTTGTCGTTTGGCATTAATTTCATCGAAATATTGGGCAAAAAGTGAGGCAAACATTTGGATAAAAGAGAAAATATTAAGATTTAGTTTATACAAGTTGTATAAAGATTTTTAGAGTGAGATTTGGGAATAGATTCCCATTAATTGGTACCAAAAAATAATAAATATTTCTGACATTTATATCGCAATCAAAAAGTAAAATTTTTCGATAAATTTATTGCTAATTCAAAGTTTGGTATTATTTTTAAACAAAAAGTTATTTTCATTTCAAACTCGTAAACTGAGTTTTTAGAGATAAATATTAATATTTACACTCACTTTAGGCACTAATAAAATGCAATAAAAAAACATATTTCATAAATTAAATCAAATTATATTAGATTTCATTGAATTAAAGATATGGTAATAAACAACTGGGAGAGAACACTGGAACTTCCAGTGGAAGAGAGGGTACTGTATAAATATAGCGGCCTTCAGGCGCTGGTATGGGTAGCCATAACAACTCCATAACCAGAAAACTTAAGCCAATGTTATTATCAAATCCAACACTTTTATAACAATCAAAAGTTTTGTTTACAGTTTGAGAACTAAATGAACAAATAAAATGTTTTCACAACAGATATCGTTATAATAATCACACGTTTTTATTATTATTCATCGGATTTAATGTCTTATCGTAACAACAGATCCATTAAATGGCAACAAATCATAAAAATAATGAAAACAAAACAACTGGCGATGAGAGCCATGAGGTGGTGATCGATAGTCAGCCCACGAGTGGTCACAAAATCGGACAAAAGTTGACCGAAGAGGAAGAGTTGGCCGCATTGGGCCTCAAACCTAAGTATATATCACTTGACAATCTATATAATGAACTTAATTAACCATTAATTACATGAAAGACTACAAACACTACAATAGATTTCCTATAAATCTAACTCAATATATGTATTACAAAGTTCTTCATCGGCCGATCCGTGCGCTTGTCTTTGTTGTGTGTTTTGTGTGGAGATGTGTTTAGCGCCGACGGGAGGGGCGCCACCGGTTCCCGCGCACATACGAATGCAACGCAAAGCCGTGGGTTTACACAATTGGGATAACGATAGCAATGATGGCGACAATTCACACGACGGCGACTTTGATTGGGCCGTCAGTCTCTCCAATAATATAATGGGTGACAATAGTGGCGGAGGCGGTGGTGGACACCATCACGACGGCGGCGATGGCGGTCACGACGGAGGTTGCGATGGAGGCGGCGGTGATGGGGGAGGAGGTGGTGGTGGCGGAGGTGATGGCGGCGGAGGTGATTAGTCTAACAATTCATTGATATCACGCGTAAACCATATAAATCACTGATCAATAGATGAAGAAGTTATCGGCGAGAATGTGTTGAATGTGACTGAAGTGTTTCAACACTACATTATTTTTAATATCCCATACTTTGTGCCGCAATTATGCGACGATTTATACACTATTTGATAAATATAAACACTTTTTTTGTATATTTTTGCATAACATTTACTGTCATTTCCCAACTCTTGAGCTCATTGTTCGGCAATCTTGACGTTTGTCTGTGTCTTAAACTGAGTGAAGCACTCATTGGCCTCTTGAGTCTTGTTCTGCTTGTGGTAAACGACACACAAGTTGTGAAACGCCTCGTTATCCGACTTATTGTGTCGCAACACTTCCAAATAGCTCTGCAGAGGAAGACACCAACAAATTGTTATTAATATTAGTTTCAAAATGAGACCAAAACTAAGACTCACTCTTTCGGCGTTTGCGAAATCATTCAAATGATTGACATAAAGGTTTCCAATGAGGAGAAGACTTTTGGTGTGATTGGGATAGAAATGAATCAATTGATTCAAATAGTGTTGCGCTTCCATATAGTCGTGAGTTTCCATCAAAATGAGCGCCAAATTGAATAAAGCGCTCCTGAAGTCGGACCTCAACTCAATCGCTCGCTTCAGATAATGAATGGCCGACCGGTTGTCGCCCGCGTCGGACAGGAGTAGCGCCAGATTGAAGTACACGAGTTCCGGATCGGCGCCCGAATAGCTCTTCATTGTGCGGATCAATGTTTCTTTGAATGGACGCAGAATTGGTTCGTATTGTTGCAGAAGAATCGCCAAATTGACGATCGATTCCTTATGATTGCTATTAAATAGCGTTGAATTCTGGAAGTATTCGGCGATTAATAACACGTTTTCGGTCCGATTGCTGTCCATTTCATCGGCGTTTGCCTTCAATAGCATTGAGTGAACGACACCTAAATTAAAGTACAAATCGGCTCTTCTGTCCGTTTGGGCCAACGATAGGCCTCTGCGGTAAACGTCGACCGCTTCGGTCAGTTTGGACTGACGTATAAGAATGTCTCCCAAATTAATATAGGCCTCAACGAAGTCCGAACGCATCCCTATTAGCTCTTTGTATAACTAAACACAACAAACAATCAAAAGAGTTAGAAATCATTTACGAAAAACTGATATTTTTGACTAAAGGCTCACATTTTCCGCCTCCGAAAGTCTGGTCTCATTCTTGACGATAATGTTCGCCAAATTGATCCACAGATTGAGATAATTGGGAATAATTCGGTTATTAATGGCCGAGAGTTTGACTTTGGGTTTGAGTTTCCAGAGCATGCGTTCGGCACTGGAGTGTTGACCCAAATTGATGAGAGTTCGGGCGATATTGATCTGAGAGCCCAAGTCGTCGGCCTGCAGTTCGGACGCCTTCTGGAAGTACTGTAACGCTGTGTCAAAGTCTTTCAGCTTTTCGTAATGGTGTCCGACATTGTTGTATAGTTTGGCGTTATTTGCGTTCACTTTAATGGCCGACGAGAAGAGTGACAACTCGTCGCTCCAGTCGTCGTTCCGGAACTGAGTCTTGAGGCAAAACAAACCAATGGTCACCGAAAACATAATCAACAGACACTTCTTAAGCATATGTCGGCGTTGGAAGTGATTCTCGATCCTAACGAAGCCGTAGGCGACCAGCAATGAGAAGCCAGTGCTCGGTATATATAGAGTGCGTTCGGCGATCACAAAGCCGACCGCGAAGAACAGATTCGACGCCGGAATGAATGGGAAGATAATTAACGACAATATTATCACTAAACGATCGCTTCGGTGGCGAAACAAATTGTATAAACATCTAATGACTAGAGCTATAAGTGTGGCGTAAAATACAAGAGTCCACACATTTCTGGGATCATCGAAGTCGCGGATCAAAGCGATCGATCTCATCGTCCAATCGCAGCACAAATGGTACGGATATAACAATAGCCACGCATTCAATGGCAATAAGTAATTGTAAGTGAGATGTCTGGAGGGGTAGGACTCAAATGAGGCCGGATTGTCAAACTTGGTAAACACCGGGAGGTTATGTTTGCCGCCCATTACGGCGATCCTTACGGCCGCTAATATTGAGCCAAAAATAATCAAAAACACACTCATGAGGAATGAGCGCTTCACAGTCGACGTCCGGCACAAACAGTTGGACACTTCGTACGCGAGACAAACGGCCAAAACAGTCAACCCCTGCTCTTTGCTAAGTATGGCGCAAATGACACCACATATGAACACAAAGTAGCGTCGCTTCATGTATGACATCAATGAGATGAGGAAGAATGTGGTCGACAGGAGTTCCGCGCGACCAACCACTCCGGACACCTGTTTGGACACAACAAGACATTCAATTAGTGATCTCACGGACAGAAATAAATGCTATAAAATTACGGCTTCGGTCTTAAGCGGATGAACGGCGAAGAGTATGGAAGCGATTAACGCCATTCTTCGGTGGTTAAGGAATTGAAGACAAAAACGATAAAAGAGTTGAACGACAATGAGATGGAGTAAAGCGTTGACCACGTGATAGCCTTCGGGCTGAAGACCATTGAGCAGATAATTGAGTCGGAATGTGATAACAGTGAGCGGACGGTACGACTTGTGGCTGTGCTCTGACGTGATGTCTGTCCCCCAGTAGTCGGTCTCAAACACCGGCCAAACGGACGTCTCGTTCGTACGGATGTGTCGGTTGTGGACAATCGCCGACACGTCGTCGAAGACAAAGTTGCCCTCAAATGAGTTCATATACGACAACACTGTTGTCATCGACAACAACACGGCGTCCGATATCCACGCCATGTCTTCGCGGATCACCGATCGGGTGTCTGTCGTCCGTCTGTCCGTCGGATCAGTCTCTTTGACGGCACCGACCGATCGATCGATGAAATCGATGTCAATGTCTGCCAAAAATCAATACAATTTGTCTGCCGTTTGATTGCATTTCATTCACAACTCATCGCATCGTTTGCTAATCACTTGTGTTTATAGTTTTGTTTCAATGCTTTTCAAAACTAATTAATTATTTTTTAATTAAATTATAAATCCATTGATTTTTTTGCCATTAATTTAGTGTCAAATCACGTAATGTTTGTCTCAAAACATGTGAAACAATGTTTACGATCGCTATGACAACCGACTCGAATGGAGTCATTCATATACTCTGTGACACATTTTACTTATTTTATCCCCCATTGTATTTCATTACATTGTACTTCATTACATTTCATATGAATTTCCTGTAAATACAATCATTTAACAACTTCTTCGCAATACACACATACTATACGAACAGTCATTTGACAAAATAAAGGAGGATGTTAATTACTCTATGTTAATTTGGCTAAAAAAATAATTTTTATTTAACCCTATGGGAAAAAGTTGTCTAAATTGTATATTGGCCGATTTTTAGTTCAAAGTTAATTTAATGCGATATTCTTTATTATACTAGACATATTTTAAATTAGAATGCAAATAATACACACCAGATGACAATCTGGCCACGAATTC